CCGCTCTGCCCTTCTTATTTTCACTGCTGTCTAGTTAAAAGGTGCTTAAGAAAGCTTTTTCTTTCACAGGATAGATTCCTGGAGGAGTCAAAGAAATTCCCTTTCCCATGCTTTCCTGCTTCCGGGTAAGGCACAGGTTCTTCCAACTACCCCATTTCCACAGCATAACACCCACGCAGAAAAAACAACAATTTCTGACCTGGGAAAGATGTACCTAGAAGCCATTTTTCTCTTTTCTGTGTGATTTCACAGCTGGAAATGAAGACATCCAACACTCTTTGACCTGTTACTCCTCCAAGGGCCGTGTGTGTTCTGCATCTGGCAACTGGACAGCTGCTGCTTTAGGACTTTGCCCTTTCTGTCTCTTTTATCTTTCCTTCTGTCATCTGCTTATTTTCCATTTTTATGATACTCTCTTTTGGTAGATAATAATGCCTTCAGGATTAGTGCTGGCAAGAGGCCAGGACAAAATGGCAGCACTAACAAATTTGTTTGAGTTAGGGTCACTGCGAGATAATTTAAGACTACAGACCTGGGGCCCCATTTTCCCATGACACTGGAAAAATCCACACAGAAAAGCAGAAACACTGAATGCTTCAAATCCAAACCTTCCTAAGTTCATCCTCTTGGGACATCTCTTGCAGAAAAGAATGAGGACTATATTTCAACACCCCTGGACAGGACTTGAGATGGACTGTACTGTGGACTATCTTTATGCACAGTTTTTGTTTTCAGGAGCAGAATCCAGCAGAGAAAAATCCATCTCTGTCACCTCCCACCCACTCAACTGAAGGACTTCTCCCTCCCAATCTTCCCTTGGAGGATACAGCCTTGCTTAGTACACACCCAGGCTGCTCTCTTCTCATGTTGCCCAAAGAAGCACTGTTAATGGGTGCCCACTACGAAGAAATCTTCAGAGAGGAAGGAACTGGCCTTTAGTTTGGCTTTTTATTTTATCCCATTACTTTTTAAAATGGATTTTTTTTTGTAATCCTGAAGGCTGCCCAGAAATGTTTCTTTGCTGAACAGGGCAGCAAGACAATCAGTTAAGGGAATATGAAGCATCTCTTTCACACTGTCCAAAGTGGGGAAATGCATGATTCATCATAAATGATGAAAAGAAAACCAGAAAGTTAAAACTCACACACTGTTAAAACACAGTTAATGTTTTTCTGCTATACTCAACCCAAGACTAACTCTTTCTAAGAAATTTTATTTTCCCATTGTTAGGAGGCTGTGAGAAAGCAGGTTGGGAAGGCTCTGCTGAGATCTGTGTAAGTTAAGCATCCATGTAATACCAGGACACAGCATCTGAAACCAGACCTCCTTCCCCCATAGCCATGATCTGTAGCTCCTCCACAGAGAGCCCCAGCACCCCATGGCCTTCACCACAAGACTTCCTGTGAGTCAAGGATTGGTGTTTCAGATGGCAAAAAGCTGTAGTAGATGTATATAGATCACAAGGTCCTCCCCCCGTCCCAGCAAGAATAGACTGGGGAGGGTGCAGAAAGCCAGGTGGGAAAGGAAGAGGAATAGGAGAGGCAGCAGCAGCAGCAGGAGCCATGCCTGGCCCTAGCAAAGCGTGATGTATTTGTGTGAAGGAGTGCTTGGAACAAGGTGAAAAGCTTTTAATCACAGGTGGAAACAGGACATAGGGTGCCTTCAGAGAGCCAGGCAGAAGGAGGTCAAGGATGAGACGGTAGGAAGCCAGGTCCCCGAGGCTGCCCTGGGACAGCCAGGAGCACTGCCAGCACAGATGGCAACGACAGACTGAGGAATGAGAGGGGAGGAGTTCTGGCAGTGGATGTGCAGCTGTGCAATGTATCTCCCCAACAAACATGTTAGCCTGCAAAATCTCCCCCACCATGCTGTCACAGGGGAATTTGGTCTCCCATAGATCCACTTCTGTTTTACTGCAACAGGGCTTATATCTATCCAGCCCCTACCAGTGCTGCACAGGGTTTGCAGTGGGTCCCCATCCTGAAGAAAAGCAAAGCATCCCCTTGCCTGAATCCAAACCAACCATAGATAGCATCCTGACCTCTCGGCAGTGTAAGGCTTTTCTGATCTTGGGAAATGTCACACTGCCCAGACTAAAAAAGCCACAAAACTACAGATGAATGGATCTTTAATACTGAAAATCACATTTCTCACCAACCACAACCAAGGGCACATAGATTTTCAAGGTATATACCTTGCTAAGTGACACCTGCAAAAGGGCACATGGAAAGGAAAAGAAAGAACAGCACAAACTTCTGCTTTCTACAGAGCTCATTTAGCAGGTTCTTCAGAGAGCAGCACCTTGAAATCAGTAGCTGGGGTTTCTCCACTAACCCAAGACAAAATCAGCAACAAAAGACTATTTCTGCCTGCCCCAACTTTGAAAATATTACAGGAAAATACAAACCACTGATGTGATTCTCCTCTCTTTGGAAGAGATTTTTTACGGAGAGAGTGATCAGGCATTGGAATGGGCTGCCCGGGGAGGTGGTGGATTCACCATCCCTGGAGGTTTTCAAGACAAGACTGGATATGGCACTCAGTGCCACAGCATAGTAACAACAGTAGGGTTGGACTCAATCTTTGAGGTCTCTTCCAACCAGGTTGATTCTATGATTCAAATATAAGTAAAATATTTAAATATTTAAATGAAATACATTCAGGTTCTAAGAAGCAGTTTTCTAAAGGCAGCTAAAATTATGCCATAAACTGCAGGAAACATCATTAATTCTGTAATATAACATCCAAGTTCATGAGCTTGTGGTGATAAACTAAAGACAATGCCTCCACCTGTGAGGGACACAATGCTTAATGCAAAAAGATGAGGTAGGTGCCTAAATGGGAGCTGAAAAATGAAGGGTTTAAGCAGCTCTGAGTTTCAGGCATTAATTCCTAGCTCTCATTTCCTACAGCTAAAGACTGACTAAACTCTCTTACAGCCTCTCTTCTTTATAGGCATATTTGGAAAGTTTAGTCTGCACCATGGAGAAGGCTGACTGTCTGGGAAGTACTTGTATCAGCATGCACAAATTCCTGTAGGTATGTACTATACATTCTTGCTTTCACAGATGACTTTCCTATGAAAATGTCTAACAGACTAGCATAGCAGTAGCTCAACAGCAATTTTCAAAGGCATTTTTCTTCTACATTTTGAGATATTTAAAAAAGACATACTTTCTCATGTCCCTCTCTGGAGATCAGCAGCATAACCCAAGGTTTAAAACAACTTGCAAGGACTATACAGGTATTTTAGACAGTTCAAAATAAAAAAAAAAAAAAAATAATAAAAAAAAAAAATAAATCGAAGCTACCTAAATATGCTTTGTCGGAAAATAACACTATTTTTCTCATTCACGTCAAGAATAACCTCATCAGATGCAATACAGAAAATGTAGCTTTCTAAGATTGGAGTCTAAAAAATGAATTATTGGGAGAAAACAAAAAAGAAGACTACAGTTCTCTGGCTAGTAGAAAAAGACAAGCGATTGGTGGTAAAGTGAGAGAGACCTGTCAACCTGCCTTACCCCAACCTTTCTGCTGATGTGCTAGGGGGTGAGCACAGGCCAGCTGGTCATGGATGGTGGTGCACAGATCTAGTGCACCTAGACCAAATCTACTCTTGTTATCTGCACTATCCACACAATAAAAAAAAAATAGATACAGCTGGACTTTGCAACTGAACCCAGGTGAGACTGTCCTGATAAGGTCTCACAGTTACTTTTGCATTAATTAGGAGCATGTTTTTGAAGATGCTGTGTCCTGAAGTCTATCATCAGTACTTACATAGTCATCCTCATGAAGACCTTGCTTCTGAACAGAACTCTTCACCTCCAGGGAAAACTTCTCAAACTCAGGCTTCACGGTCCTCAGCAGAGTGATGGTTTGCAGGTATGAGTATGCTTTCTTGGCTTCAAGGTCATGTTTGTCTCCTCTTCTCCAAGAGCCATTTCCTGAAGGGGAAAACAAGCATATTGCCAACTCCAAATAAGGTACCTTTATAGGATTGCCTTCCTTTCTCCACCCAGGAGTCCCCTTTCCTGCACCTTGGGGACATGGCAGAGTACTAGGGAGAACTGAACCTTCAAGACATGCAGGAAACCAGGCAGTGAGGAATGGCTAGCTGGAAGTAAATGTGCAAATCAAAGGACAACTTTACTCCCATGCTGTGTTTGCTTATTTTTAAAGGGTGGGATGAAGCCTAAGCGTGAGAAGACATCTTGGAGCAAAACACATATGCTGGATCTCAAATACAAAGGTATTTAAGTTAGAAGAAGTGAGGGAGGATTCAACCACAAAGTTTTTGTTACACATCACTCCACCAGTGACACTCTTGGACAGTCAGGAAGGCACCAGTAAAGTCAACAGCATGATCATCACCCCAAATGGGAGGCAGATGGTGCAGCTCTCCCACTGCAGTCAAGGAGGAAACCATGTGTGCCATGGCTGCCAGAGCAGCCCCGCCTTTAGTGGAAAAGGAACACTTAAAAATAAATTGGAATCCTGTGCCCACGCTGTATTTACACGTGTTTTGTGTCACAGCAAGGAAACAATTTAACTCAGACCACCACTAAAGAAACCACATTTCTAAAAAGCAGGATAGCTGACTGGTTGTTTATTAGCAGAGGACTCCTTCTGCCTACCAAAGCCTGGCCTTTGCAGGCCCCAAGACCCTGTCCAAAGCTTCAGGAGGTCAGTGGAAAGGTTCACATTGTCCTGGCGCAGGTTTCGTGCCAATTATTCTACAGAAATGGTAACTACAAAAGGCTAGAGGGAACAGCTGTATCCCTAAGCAGTGTGCCAGCAAATGCCCACAAATAATTAAAAGCTAGACAGTCATTTTATTTTTTGAACAAAAGCAACAAACTCCATTATGGCCAAATGAGTCAAGACAAAGACTAATGCTAAACTCCCAAGGGTGACCTGGAGGCACGTGGGAACCTGAAGTGAGGAAAGATGTGGCCATTTTACTTGGGTTGAGGACCATAGTGTCATTTGGACCAAGAGAAGCAAGTGGTTTGGGAGTGGAGATGTTAAGGGCAATGTCATCAAAACCACGGTGCTCCTTGCATAGCACTACCAGCTGCATCACATGCCTGCAAGAGCAAACTAATGATCAGACCACCTCTGTCTCCTGCAGGTGAATAGAGCTTGCATTTTGTCCTCCCAGGACCCTGTCACTGCTGCTGGGACTTCTTTTTCTTACAACAAGCATGACTGGAGAATTTCTCTGCTTCTTCAGAGAGCACAGCTGAAGGAGCAAAGGACTTGCACTTCTCTGCAGGACAAGTCTTCTCTCCTGCAGCTTTTGGGTCCAGGGCAGCTCCTGTCATTCCCAGCACAAGGCAGGAGACACAGAACCACCTAAGCCCTTTTATCTCTTTCTTCCACCCTGGGAAGGGTGGCTTTCGCCTTATTTACCACAGCTTAACACCACCCAGGACTAAATCTTTATATATACCATGAACTCTGCTGGTACTTAATTATTTTTTTAAAGTGATTTTGTTTATTTAGGTCGAAGTTCTAAATATATGTGCCTTGGTTTAGGGATTTCTTTCCCAATACAATGCTTAACCAGCCACAATTACTTACACCAGAATCCTCTTCATCAGGCCCAATCAAAGCACTGGAGAGGAACTAACATTCCACTGCCTGGTTTTGCCATTCTTCCCTCCAACACCTACACCTGTCCTCCTTACTGCTTTCAAAGAGAAAGAAATGCACATCTGGCAATTGTAAGCCAGCATGTCTTGAAACCTTTCCCAAAAGAGAGTACAAGCCCTGCAGGAGCCTAAAAGCTGAAAAGCTTCTGCCCTAGCTGGGTACCTGCACTTCAGAGATGCAGTACTCAGGAAGTATAGCAGAAACTACAGCACAGAGCTATAGCTTGGCATTTACAAGTGGAGATGGCTATAAAAGAATCAGTTTATAGAGCCACACAAAAAATAAGAAGGCAACACTGGTGGAATGTGAGTAAATTTCTGTCCTGGACACTGCACATACTTCTTTTTTAAAATCCTCACAATGGGAGCAGGGAAGGTATACTTGCATAACAGCGTTCCTAGAATAATTTACATATTTTAATTCCTTCATGGATTATTTTGTGGGAGGTCATCTTGTCACAGTACTTACGTAAAATTATTGCAGCCTTGGCATTTAATATGCTTGTTCTTCTGAAAAATTAAAAATATTCAGAACAGAGGGCAACAACAAACTGCAATAAAGTCATCTGAACATAAAAGGCAGTGCCAATTGCCCAGTCACACACACACTTAGATTTTAAAAGGTACAAAACCTAGCACCTTGAGGCACTGGGAACAAGGAGTTTGAGGGCATTTTCTACATTTCTCTTATGCTTGCTTTCCACGTGCAACAAGCATCTGCACAAAAGTCAACTTCTGATGCACAGTCATTTCACCCTACATGGGAAACACATCCATAAACAGAAAAATTGTTTTAAGAGAAATGTCAGGAAATGCCATATTCTAACTACACTGCATCAGTAGACAGTTTTCACTAATCCGCTAGAAAAGCAACTGGACTACCTGTGATGCAAAGGAGGGTGGTGCTCAGGCTCCCATACAACCACAGGGCAAGCAGGTATTGCCTCAATCACCGTGCCACATGGAGGCTGCACATCGGAATGGCACAGCACTGCCCTGTACACGGCTGAACAAAGTGCCATCTGCTGGGGGCTGCACTACTAGGGACAGCCACTCCACATCAGCTGTGATCCCTCCTGGGCCTGGGTGCCGGAGCCTGGCGGTTGCAACACTGCCTCCTGCAACCACCACTACCTCCTAATAAATACCATCCTGGAAAGCAAAAATATCCAAAATGCAACTCCCCACCTCCTGCACCCGCTGTTATTTGAAGATCCCCTGCCCAAAGACAATTTGGGTACCACCTGTCCCAGCCAGCTGCAGTGCCTTGCAGGTAGTCACCCTGCGCTCAATTCAGCCAAAGCAAGGAAACCATCAGCTCTAAGGGATGACTCATCAGAGCCCCAGTGAACAACTAAGGATGAGCTGAATTGCTGTCCAGGAGTGCCTACTTCTCTCCTGTTGCTCCAAAAGGAGCCCAGCTCGCAGACAGACTTGTGCCTGTGGCCAGATGATGTATTCTTCTGATGAATTTCTACTCTGAGTCAATGCTGGCAGCCAGAAAGGTTATTTGATTGGTGGTTTCTAGCAAAGTTCAGCTTGAAAAGCTCCCATGGTCTACATAAGGGCCAAAATTCCAGGGTTTTGTGATGGTTGATATGGGTAAAACTTCAGCTCTTTTCACTGGTCCTGATTAAAGCTGAATATGCCACCAGGGATGAAGTCACTCCAAATTCAACTGCACAGAAAGAAAACCTTGATTTGAACCATTGGCTTTGATCTTATTCTACAACTTTATCTGTTAGTTATTTGAGTGATTACCTTATCACCTGGCAAAACCTGGCATTCTTTAGCTACCCTAGACGATACATGTAGCAGTATTTGTACTTCTGTACATATGTCTACCTGAGCACTCACACTGCAGAATGGGGCACCCACACCATAACCAACGTCTCCGTCTGGTTCCCAAAAAAAGGAAGTAAATAAGTAATTCCTTTAGTATATTTAGCATCTTATGACCCACCGAGCAGCAACTATAGCCAGGAGGTCTGTTTTATGTCCTGCAATACCATAGCCTGGGAGGAAGATAACTGCAACAACGGAGAGAGACAACGGTGCTTTCTGGGACTCAGTACTGCACAGCTTGAGGCTAACAATTCTAAAAATACTACCAAGCTTACAGAAGACTTCACAACACACTTGGGCAAGAAAAACATTACCATATGATGAGCTGTTGAAGAGTTCAATATTGAAGAAAGCGTAGTCCCCATTGGTCATTCCTTGCCGATGAGCAGACAACATGATGTTCCTGATAGTGTCACCGCTGGCACACATGATTACAACTGGAGGAAGCAGAGAAGAAACACAGGTAAGAAGCAGTTCAAGAACTTCAGAGAACAGCCTGTTAAGCATGATGCTGCCAGAGACAGTGACCTCAACTGGCCTTCCAGTATTGCAACAAACATGACAACACAGAGGGCAAACAAAACTGATTTCCCCAACAACTGACAAGCCAGGTACCAAACACAGAAAGGCTTCCTCCTACCTTGTCTCCTATGAAGATAATTAAATAGAGCCTCTGTGTGATGTCTTTTTTTTAACCCCTGTAATATGTGATATGTTCTGGCTTCAGATTTCTTTAGCTCCATATATTTGCAGAGTTGACTTCAACCATAAGCCTCTGTGGTTACTTCTTAGCAGACATTTCAATTTCCATTCCAATAACAGTTTGGTGTAGATCCAACTTACCTACATGTCAGCTATCTAATATTTAGGTATCTGGCCTAGAATCTGTTGTGTCTCTGCACTTAAGGGAGAGCAGCATCTGTGCACCTGTGCAGCAGGGACAGTGGTAAGAATCTTTCCAAATGTGACTTTGTCTCCAGACACCACACAGTAAATCTAGGCAACAGCCTTCAATAGGATCCTCAATACTAAGAAATGAGAAAACCAAGTGCCAATTTCAGAGCATGTAAAGGTGGGTACAAGATTAAACACCAGAGCTTCATTTATTATGGACCAAGAGCTAAGCAAAGGCTCTGTTGCTATAATGGGACCTATAAGCCCAGAGGTGCGCTCTGTGTGGGCACCACGATCCACACTGTGATGCCTGTAGTTGACAGGTCTCCTCCCAAACATGGTGGGCAGGGGGACTACTCCCCTTGCTATCCCGTCCTTCTGCAAAAGGAAAGCAGAAACTCGGATGAGGTCTTCAGCAGTGGGGAGACAACTCCCACACAGAGCACAATATACTATAAACTTTTATACAGGTTCACAAGACTTCAGGCATGAAGCTACTGACATCAGAAGAAGCAGCGAAGTATTTTATCAGTGTGTGCTTCAGGGCTATATCCTACATCAATCATAAGAGATCCTCTTAGGACAGTGATTCGAAACCAACTGCACGCACATTTCCAAGAACGCCGTCACGCATGGCAGGGCTCAAAAGCTACAATAATGTACGCAAATATTTTCAACCCAACAATAAAAATGAATCAAAACCACATTCAGCTCTTCTGGGTAGAAGTGTTTTCTATTATAAGAAATGAGAAGGCCGAACAGGCCAAATCTTTTTGCACACAATGAATCTTCTCCCATCGCTTTTCTGGTTGGATGCCATCACAGGCATAAACCTCCACATGTGCTGCCGGAGTGAGTCATGTTCAGTACATCCCCACACTTTAGGAGAGTTATACCGTGCATAGCTCTGTCCTACTGCTTACAGCAGAGTAATATAATAATTTCCAGAGCAACAGAGCAAGACATATTTCATGACCATTGTGAAGTGTATTAGCATGAAGGAATAGAAGAAGAAATAAGTTTTTTTACAATAAAATTTGGACCAAATCTTTTCCAGACGCACATCAGGAATGAATTTGTCTCACTGCTCCTAATTTCAGTATAGGTGAGAGCTTTCCTTTTGAAACATTTCCTTGCTGCCCTCCCAATTCTCCCTTGAGTCTGCCTTTGCAATTCACATCTATCATAAAATGATAATCTGCAGATGGAATCAAAGAGATTCCCATAACACCAGTAAAAGACCTTCTGCAAAAAGAGCAAAAGAGTGTGTGGGAGATCTACTTTAAAATACACTAAATCATATTTTGTAAGCCTCTAAAGGAATGTAAGGGAAGTAATATTAACTATTTGGATGTGGTTTTTAACCCAGCTGGGGAGCAAAGATTACATATTTCAAGATTTTTAAGCAAATAAGCTGTGGACATGTCTCTAACAATCTTCCAAAAATGTAAATTATGTATGTATTTAATCTCCATCTGTACCTTACTATTATGTACATACAAACATGTACGTGCAAACACATACAAAATGTTCTCCCTCCAGCATAACACATGCAGACCACAGCAATTCTAATACTAATGTGCTGTATTTATTGACTAGGACTATTGACTCATCCTGCA